GCCTAGGGAAGCACGTCTTTTCTGCTGTTTGTAATAAAGAGCAAATTATTTCCACCCTCACATGTTGCTGTGCTTTGCCTGAAAGTACATAATTTTGTATAATTTCCCCCAAATTGCTCCCATGGTGATAATGGTGGAGTTTTCTCCCTGAGCGCCTCCGTGAGATGTTTGTGTTGGGGATTGCATGTTCTATACGGTTAATGAGTAGAGGCAGGAATTTAATAACTTAAGAGTTTAGAAATGTGCAGGGTGTCTTGGGAGGAAAGGTTTTCCTTTCAGCTCCTGCGCTTCAATGTTTGCATTTACTCAAGGTTTTGCATGGGTCTGTATAGTAGCACAAAGGAAGACCATATGGCTGAAGTCTGGATGTTCATAGCAGATATACACATATACACAACTCACCTCATGTTTACCAAGGGATCAATACATTATTTCAAGCAATCCAGTAAAAATGGTACCAAGTTAACACAGTATATAGTAAATAAATACATTATTTACCTACATTTGAGATTAGTACAAATAATTTCCTTCGGTATATTTTTAATGTGATGCTAAATTATTTAGCTTAAATTCATGACTAATCTCTGACTTTCAGTTTTTCCACTCTTCATAAAAATGCCAAAGAACTACTGTAATTCATTAAACAGGAAACAGCTTGCACTATATATGTAGATCTAGCATGACATGCCTTAAATCTGTTATAAAAATGGAATAACTAAGTTACCATGGTGTAAAATAAGAGAAAAATAAGTTTTGCTAGATCTCTGTGGAAGATAGAGGGAGTAAGAATGAAGTAATTAAGATAAATTTAAAGTTTGATGTGTAGTCCTGTGGTAATAAGCTTGTTTCTAGCAGAATAAAATCATCCTCTGATTTGCTTTTAAACTGTTTCATATTGTTTTTTGCTTCCTGTCATAATATTGTCTTACCAGCAAAGCAATTGTCCTTGACAAGTCTGCCAAGTGAAAAATCAATTTGGTCTTGTGTTGACCCCTGTTTTGTTCTGGTCTAGTGTTTCATTTTCATTTAACAAAAGGTATACTATTTTAGATAACAAATGTTTCTTTCTAGAACTAACCAACTATTGCAGCTTTTTCCTTAGTAGGCATAAACTACTGCCAGGATTTACCTCAGCTGCTAGAGCAGCTGTGAATATGCCCTGCTGATCTCATGGAGACACTGGAGCTAGGAAACTAAGATGTGATGACAGTAGCTAAGGGATGAAGGTTTTGAGAGAAATATTCCTGTAATTTGTTGGAACTGAGGAAGTGAAATGTGCAATTCTGACAACAGTGACAGATTATAGATTTTAATATATATATCTATGAAATGACAGCACCAGAGAGACCTGCTCTGTTTTGTGCACAAGTATGGGAATGTTGAAGTGCTTTTCTGAAATGACAGAATTTTATTGTATACAAAATTCAAGAGTAATGTTAAGCAAAAGCAAATGGAGGATTACTTCCTTCTGGTGTGAAACATACGGGGAGATGTTTTGCTATAAACTGTATGTTCATGTACAAGACAAAGTAACAAGAAGTTTTCATTTGTTCTTTTCCTTCTCTTTTCATTGCTGTTTTTTGTTTACATGGCTGTGTTAAAATCTAAGAAGCTAGAACAGAAAAATCAGATAAAGCATTCCTTAATAATTTCCACAACTACTTCTAACTAAATTTTTGCTCATATCTGTGTATCATCTTGGGATTTTCATACTTTGAGATTTATCTGTGGAATTCCTTTGTACAAAAGTTTCCTGTATTGGATAAATGCTACAGATTCCTTGCATCCTCCACCAATAATCTCAATAGATAGGGCCATTTAAAGCACATCTGGTATTATATCTGTATTCCTACTTCAGCAATGACTTAGACAGTTGTCTTGGTAGATGACAAGATGATGGTTAAGTCAAAATAGTGAAATAATTTTGTTTTTTACAAACATCACTTTAGTTTGCATTTGAATATAGAAAAGTAGAACTTAAATTCTATATGTGTAACAAAATACTAAGTTTGTATAAAGCAGAGGAATAATTATGCTTTTCAAGAGGAATGTGAAGCTTTAAAAAACCCCAAATTAACAGTTCTGTAGATGTTTAAGGATACAGTAGTCAGATCCCTTATAGTTTTATTTATTTATTTGCTGTTTCTTTGCTAAACTTTCTCTTCCTCTCCAGCCCCCCAATTTAATGGATAATATGTCCCTGAATATTCTCCTTATAGGAATTTAAATTTCTGCTGAAGTTCCCGAGGCTGCAATTTGCTTGTAATCTTCCATCTGTTTCAAATTCATTGTAAACACATACAGTCAGATCTTTAGCTCTATAAAAGCATCACGTGAAGTCAGTGGAGCTACATGGAATTTCTTCAGTTGAGAGTCCCGCTTTGTATTTCCACTTTTCCTGAACCCAAACTTGTTCTCACCATATAATTACTATTTTTTTTTCCACCATTCTGATCACAAATTTATATTAATTGCCTGATTTTGACTATAGTTCACATTCACAGTTATGTGAAAAAGATGCATGTAATATTGATGTGAACTTTACAAAAATGTTTACTCAAAACTCCTTTCATAAACTATTTTTCTAACAAAATGTTTACAAAAGGAAAGGATTTATTTTTAGTATTTTTGTTGTCAGGCTCCTGTAATTGTGGCACAGGCTGTTGTGCACAAGACTGTTGTTCATTGCCAGGGAAGGTGACAAGGACTGCTCTAGGTTAAAAATCTATATTTATTAGTTAGAAAGATCACACTTAGAAATGTCCACGTGCATGTTTTTTTTTCCCTCAGAGGCTTCATCTTTAGTTACCTTATTGGAGAAGTTCATTGTGATGCATGAAGGACCAAGGTGTATGTGTTGTTTGAAAGAATTATTCCACTACATTAGTAGCCATAAGCCATACATAGAAAAGGGGTGGAGTGAGAGGATATGATGGAAATGGTCTATTGAGCTTACTGTAAATTATTTTACTTATTTTTACTGTTGTTTAGCATAATCTCAAGTAAAAACCATGATAAGACAAGAGCTGGAGAAGAAAACTGAAGTGGTTGACATTGCATTACAATATTTTTTTATGTTCAATTAGGAAGCTACAGCAAACTTGGATTCATGGCATTGTGACTAGATATCTAATTTTACTTTTTAATAATAAATCAGTAATTAAACCATTAAAATGCTGATTCTGAGCAGATTTTCTGTATGCTGGGCTTCTTCAGCTGTTAATTTTCCTAGATAAAAAGCTTGTTTGTTATTTTATATATACAGTGCAGTATACAGTGCAGGTCACCAGGAAATAGATCCTAGAAGCATTTAGCTATCAAGTCTTCCTAGTTTGATTCATCTCTCAAATATGTTTTACAACATCAGTAATTAACCAAAAACCACTTCAAATCTGGCACTGGCACTCAGAATGCCATTTTTGAGGTACCAGAGAAACCATGGCAGATGATTTCATTACCACCAGTAGTGTGTATTTTGTACTTTCACCATCAAGATTTTTATTGCTGTCAAGCTATATAAAATCCTGGTCTCAGGTTCTTAACACTTGGAAAGTAATAACTCTCCTCATTCTCTGTTAAAAAAATATAGACGCTCAGTTTGCTCTGAATAGATTTCTGTAGATAAAATACAGAACTTGTAGATCTGAGTTACTATTCTCACTAATAATTGTGTGTTTAACACCACCTTGCCATGAAACCTAAGTCAGTTAATCTATTTCTATTCCCTGCAAATGTAAAATAGGATAGCAGTTTGCAACCACATTCATAAAACTCTTTAAATTAAAAGCACTGTGTGTATCTTTCCTGTAAGGGCAGCGTAAGAAATCCTAATTGAATTTTTAAATCATAGGCTTTTCTTTCACAGGAGTTCATGCTTTCTGTATCTGAAAATGATGCACATAGGTTACCACTACTGGTCAAGAAAAATTACTGAAGTAAAATGAAAATAAAGAATTATATAGCTTCCTGTATATAGTTTTGGTACTCTAATAAGTGTGTAGTATATAAATCTAGAATGTAAAATTAAAAAATAAATATAGATCTTACAGCAATTTAGTAAAAATAGACCACTGAAAATGTTCATAAATTTAGTGCCAACAAAATATACTATTGTGTTACCTATTTCTGATAGATGTTGTTAAAATAAAAGGCACTTGCCCCTATGTTGTATAAAATGTTACGAACCGTAAAAGCCTAAGACAAATATTAGAAACAAGTCTCCTAGCAAACTAACAGCACAGCTGTGTCAGGCAATGCAGCTACCAGCTACAGACTGTGAGGCCATTGTCTGAATTTACTTCCATTGAAGTCCTTTAACGAGGGCACCAGCAGCTTACTGGTTGTCCCTGGAGTCCCATCCTGTTAATTCTACGTCAGGCGTCAATGGGCCATGTGCTCTGAATGGAGCACCATCAGCAGTGCGCCCAGGAACAGTAGTGAACTCGGCACCTGAGGGTGACAAATCTACCTCTGCAGCGTTTGACAGCTTCCCGCAAGTCCAGTGAACCTGTGGAAATGAAGCATCCCTCTGACATTAGACCTGGACATACAGAGCTGCTTCATATATATACAGCATGTGCATTGCAATTTATTTCCTTTGTAACTAAAAATTGGTATGAATTTATTGGGTTGCATTCCTAGTAAATGTGATGAATCTAAAGCTGCCTGCTGGAGATGAGTTGTTTAACAGTAGGTGGCTGTCTCTAGGGAGCTTCCTCAGTAAGTACTGATTTGAGTTGTTGTCTTCAAGTGATCAAGCACTCAGAAATTTCCTACGTAAGTGTCTGTCACTTTTTGGTAAGTATTTTAATTAGCTGTGGTACTTACTTCTGATCGGTGTTGCTTATTAATGATATGAATATGACATGGCACAGAAAGTTATGGAAATGCAACGAAAGCTTGGTAGCAGTGGTGGACCAAAGAGAGAAGAAGAATTAGAGATTCTATTCCTTTCAGACTTGTACAAAATTAGCAATCTTTCACTGTGTTTGGTATTCTAGGATGTGATGTCCACATTCTTCCAGTTTGGGGCTTCCATCCAGCAAGAAGCCATCATCATGCTGAAGATCATGCAGGATTATGACTGGCACGTGTTCTCTCTGGTGACCACCACATTCCCTGGATATCGAGACTTCATCAATGTCATTAAGACCACAGTGGAAAACAGTTTTGTGGGCTGGGACATGCAGAACGTCATTGTACTCGATACCGCCTTTGGAGATGCCAAGACCCAAATTCAGCTGAAGAAAATTCATTCATCTGTCATCCTGCTATATTGTTCCAAGGATGAAGCTGTCTACATACTGGATGAAGCTCGTTCCCTGGGCCTTACTGGCTACGATTTCTTCTGGATAGTTCCCAGCCTGGTTAGTGGTAACACAGAAATCACTCCCAAAGAGTTTCCTTCAGGACTCATTTCAGCATCTTACGATGAATGGGACTACAGTTTAGAAGCTCGGGTACGGGATGGCCTTGGGATTATTGCCACTGCTGCATCAGCCATGCTCGAAAAATACTCCTTCATTCCTGAAGCAAAAACTAGCTGCTATGGACAACTGGAGAAAAATGACCGGCCATCTCACACCTTGCACAAGTAAGGCTTATTGGTTTGTGTTTTTTCCCCTACATAACCTTGGTAATTTTTCATTCTGTTGCCATTATATATTTCTTGAAGGAGAATATTGTTTTTTGTTAATCCCATCATGCACTTTTTAAACAACGATTTTCAGGTGTTCCAAGGGAACATGCAAGAGGACTTGCTGCACTGATAACTGTGCGCATGAAAATGATATCATGTGCCGTGGAGAATAAATACTGCTCTGGGTCTGATGTAGAAGATGACAGAAATTGGTCTTAGATGATATGATGCAGAGTTAATAAAATCATGCTATTGTGTACTTTAACTATGAGTTTAAAGTGCTCTGGAGTTTGTGCCTGAATCACTTGCATCAGCAGGAACCTGGTAATAGTTTAGAAGACAAGAGATGTGCAGCATTGAAGAGGTGTCCCTAGAAAATACAGCAGATTAGCTAGGCAGCTTTTACCACCTAATAACTGAAATGTGTCACTTTGTCTTGTGAGGATTTTATTTTTATCACCTGTACTAGAATAACTGCAAAAATTAATCTGCATTAATCCAAGTTGATATGGATGCTTTCTCAAAACAGTTTATCATATGGGAACTGCTGAGGTTTAAATCACAGGATTCTTTCCTTCTTTTTCTTCCCCCCCCCCCCCCCCCCCCTTTAATTATCCCTTTTAGACATGGTATTCTTGATTACTTCTATCCAAAATGTTGCATAATACTTGTCACGCAGTAATGTATTTCTTTATTTGGTTTATGAGAGGAAGTAAAGGGAATCTTCCTTATTTTTTAACAGCTCTTCACAATATCTCATATGGATGCTACTAAGCATTATTTATGAAATTTGTTCTGACTAAATATTGCAGATGAAGTGCTTTCTACAAAAAAGCAGAATGGAATTGACACAAGAAGGAAAGTCAGTGCTGCTTTCATACATGATATTGTGGAACATTTTTATTTTGCTGTGATGTACGTGCATATTTAGCTTAGGACTTGTTTGCCATATGATGTCCTGGAGCAGTTGTTGTTTTCCATGAAAATGGCATCTCTGTGCACAGTGTTCTTCAGAAGCTTTCTTAAAAGCCAAATACTGCCAAGTAAATGGATGTTAGCATTTCATACGTATATTTTATAAAGTGTGACCAAAGTTCAGAAACTTGCACAGTTCTCCTTAGAGAGGACTTGCCTTTAGTATGACACTTCCACTTTTTCTTGGTCTCCCCTTTCCTATTTCTAAGCCTCTGCCTCTAAAACTGTACAAAATCACCAGAGGCTTTGCAGAAAATCTGCGGTTCATTTCCTGCTGCCCCAGATGCCCCTGGGGAGTAACAGGAGGCAGCACTGGCATGGCTCTCTGGTCCACCATGGCTCCAGGAAAGCCATCTCATGGACACTTGTGTCAGGACAGAGCAGCTAGGAGGCACTGCCGGCAGGACTGTCCTACCCACACCCCATAGGTGGTCCTTGTATGGTTCTTCTTAATGAATGTGCTGACAACACCACATAAAAGATAAAGGCAATGGCATCTCATTAACCAAATTCTGTGCCTTAACAGTGACAAAAAAGTCCACTATTAATATTTGAACTCCAGTTTCTTTGAAAGTTAAATTTTGTATTCTCTTGTCAGAAGTGTTGGTGTTTAAAATACTGTGGTTCAGCTGGAAGAGCCACAAAAACTTGAACCTGTTTTGAAAAGGACTCCTACCCCATTGTTTTGGTAATACAATAGTGTAGACTTGAATTAGTTATTCAGTATGCAGCATAAGTTAGCTTTCATTTTTTTTCTCATTAAATCTGTATGACTACAAGAATATGGGTTGTGAGTATTAGGGCAGTGAGACTAGACTTCACCAGGAGATTCTGCTGTTTTTAACTTATAAATCTCAGAATTACACTAAATTTAATAAACTTTAGTCTTTCTTATGTAAAAATGCCCCAAGACTGTTCTTGTCACATATAATCTGCGAGAAAGGCAAGTATATACAAGCATTTAGCAGTGCTAAGTAGTCTCTGGGAGTTGACCAGTCTCACCATGCCAAAGTAGATTACGTAAATTTATTGTACTTTCTTATCCTCATCACTAAATTGTAACTTTCTTCCTTATGTGACAAATTAATGCCTAAATTGGGATTTTATTCTGAAATGTAAACTTCAAAGTTTCAGGTCACAGTGCAGCTTTGTATTTTTTAAACTACAAGATAAATGTGTATGATGCTGTATTAAGGACCTAACTTGAACAAAGGATTTTGGACGATCCTCACAGTGAAAAGGGCTAAAGTAATTGTAAACAGTTTATGGGCCTAGGATCTGCTGCACTGTGTCTTCCTGTTCATGGTGGAAATCTGTGCTAGAGAAGTAGGGTTTCATGAAGGGACACAGCTTGCAAGCTCAGGAACAGAGAACTCAGTGGCAAGCAGGGAAGAGGCTCTGTAATGTGATGCTTGAGCCAAACTAAATTCAAGAATGGAGAAAAAGCCCAGGATTTTTAGACTTCATCTATTATAACCCTGTCTAATTCAGCTTTATACCCACTATAGTATTGTAAGGCTATGCCATAATAGCTAATTTGCTTGCAAATGGAGGATGGTAATGCTTTATGTGTGACTTCCTGCATCTAGATAGCGATTTTCATCTCCATTTATGAAGAAATTCTATGTAAAGAAAGCTATGAAGTGAAAGCTCCTCCTCCCTCTTTTTCAAATCCTTTGAGTATTAAATTGGTTTGAAGATATATATGTTTTGAAGCACACAATTTATCCTTCCCTTGTCACTGCAATTCTAAGATGCTTTTATTGGTTTTCTAGACTCAGAAAAAAATCAGTTTTGCTTTAGGTTTTGGAATGATTTGATCAATGTTCATTTCTGATACACATGGGAAAATGAGTTTTTCTCTAGGATTTAAAATAAAATACAGGGATCATTTTCAATGCATTAAAAAACCATACGTATATATATGTATTGATTCAGATAATCTTTTCCCATCTCTATACCACCCAAATTCTCCCAAGGCAGAAAAAATATTATTGTGTGAAATTCTGGCACTAGCACAGCAGGATAAATAGAATTAGCAGCTCATTAATGCAATGTCAGTTGAACAAATGCTTGCTCTCTCTCAAAAAAAGGAAAACAAGTAAGCAAACAAACAGCAAAACAAAATAACCCTGCCAGTCGTCATGGAAAATGCTGCTGCTTTGTGAATAGAAATGCTTCTGCTTTGTCTAGAAGAGTACTTATGTTGTGTATAAAAGTCATAACCCTGAGAGATAACATTTCACAACAACATTTCCAACCACTCTGATCCTGTCGTGGTTTGAGCTCAGAGGGCAACTGAGCACCACACAACCGCTCACTTCCTTCTCTTCCAGCAATGAGAAGGGACAAATAAGCCAGGCTTGGGTTTCGAGATAGGACTGGGAGGGGCAGATCACCCCTTATGGTCATGGGCAAAAGGCAGACGTGTTAGGGGAAATAAAATAGAACATACATTTATTACAGACACTAACAACAACACTTAACAGAGTGGGACGGTGAGAAGCATTACCACATATTGAGAACACCTTCCCCCCACCCCTCCCTTCTTCCCGGGCTCAGCTCTGCTCCCGATATCTCTACCTCCACCCCCAGGCAGCACAGGGACAGGGAATGGGCGGTGCAGTCAGTGCTGCTGCTTCTTCTATTTTCGGTGGGGGGGAGCTTCCAGAACTTGTTCCCCTTGCTCCATCGTGGTCCCCCACAAACCCTCTTTAACACGAGTCCCTCCCACAGGCTGCAATGTTTCTTTACACTGCTCCGGTGTGGGTCACCAACTTTCTCCAACTGGAGTCCCCCCCACGGGCTGCAGCCCTTCCCGAGCTGCTCCGACATGGGACACCCTTGCGTGCTGCAATCCTCCCAGTGCTGAGCTACAACAGCGGGCGCTACTTTTTCCCCCAAGATCCCATCCTTCTTTGGGTACAGTCACCTTGGTCAGCCATGCAAAACACCTCACAGGCCATAAATCAATGTCTGCTCCATCACAGATCTTCATGAGTGGTGGTGGGGGCTGCCCTGCCATCTCACCACAGGATACAGGGGGGTCTCTGCTCCGGCACACCTCCCCCCCCTTTTCTTCCTCCATTCCTCCACTGACCTTGGTGTTCACACAGCTGCCGCAACTCCTCCTCACAAGTCCCACTCCTCCTCACCACGTCCCTTCTTAAATATGTTATCGCAGAGGCGCAGCTGATGGGCTCACTTTTGGTGCAGAGGTGGATCTGACTTGGAGCTAGGGGAGCTTCGAGAAGCTTCTCACAGGGGGACACCCCTGTAGCCCCCTCCCCTGCTACCAAAAAACCCCACCACTCACTCAAACCCAGGACAAATCCATATAGGGATGGATGGGGATGACAAAACTGTTGCTCTGTTGTCATTATCCTGAAAAGCAAAAAGATGTGTCTTTCCATAGATAGTCAGGCATTTACCATTTGGTGTTTACATTTGGTTACATTCAGTTTCCAAATACAACCAAATAATATGTGGGATTTAGAAACTCATCTTACTTTTGGTAGTGCAGGTGTAGGGTTAGAAGGCTGTCCAGACTGCTCTGAGCAGGCTGTCATTTCATACCCTTCCCTTCCCAGGCTGTTTCCTTTATTTGTCATCACTGAGCCAGGGAGCAGGTCCAAAGGGCCAGGTACAAATGCATTTGTTGATTGTGCCCTGAGTCACCTACTTTAAACACTTGGGGACTCAGTGGGAGCAGTGTTTTGAAATGGGCGACCCAATGTGTCTGTCTTTCCATGGACAACCATGCTGTTCATTTTCTTGTCCCTGCTGATGTGCTGCTGTTAGCTTACAGCATGGCTACGAGACAGTGTCTTCAGAGGGCAAGGGTATGCTGTCTCTCTACTTCTGATATCCATTCAGCAGGTTTAGTATTTTGATTTCAGCTTTTAGCAATAACAAATTTTCCTCTTCTGCTTTTGAGTAAAATCAGAGATTAAATGGATACAATGGTTTGATGAATAATC